TTCAAACCCACCAGCCACTCCTCAGAAGGAAGATGAGGCAATCTACTTCCATAGTGATACTGCCTCAGAAACCCAAGGAGGGGTCGCTATGAGTCGGGTCCGACTCGATGGCATGTAACAACAACAACAAGGGCAATGGGCAAGGAGCCCTGGTATCAACTAAGGGAAATGGACTAAGATGTGGTGGTTAAGCGCTCAGCTCCTAACCGAAAGGTCAGTGATTGGAACTCATCAGCAACTCCGTGGGAGAAAGATGTAGCAATCTGCTTCCATAAAGATCTCACCCTTGGAAGCTCTATGGGGCAGTTCTACTCTGTCCTACAGCATCACAGTGAGTTGGCACTGACTTGACAGCAATGGGTTTGGTTTTACAGTTACAGGCAACAGATACACAAGCAGACCAACTCGGCTGTTACCATTAACTGAACACATTGGGTGGGCAGGCAAATTAGCAAATAAGAATATTGTATGTAATTATGTAACTGCAACAGCAGCTAAAATAGTAAGATTTTAGAAAAAGGTGCACCTATTGATACAATTTAGGCACAATTAAACACTTCATAGGATTGGTTTACTTGGTTTGAAGATTTAGAGTCATAGTTTCACTGGTCTACTCAGGCAATTGGCCTTACATTGTTTTTAGTTCCTACTTTAATTCCTACACTCAGTGACAGCATTTGGGATCTCACAGTCACACAAGATACAGCAATTGGTATCCGTATACCTGGAACAACAAATGAGAGACACACTAGGAATCACAGAAGGAAATGGACAATAGGTTTAATTGCCTCCATGAAGTATTACCTCCATTACCATGAGACCAGAGGAAACTAATGTACCCAGCTACCATTACTGAACATTCTCATCAAGGACCCAATAGACGGATCCTGTCAAAAGGAGAAAAGGTATGGAAAAGAACTTCAAACTCATGGAGAACCCCCAATTCCAATGCCTGGAAATAACCTTTAAACCTTGAACCAAAACTATCCTATGAAATCATCATTAACAAGTTTATCCCAATTAATAAAGTCTGACTCAAGCATAGCACTCTTACAAAGAGTTATCTATATTAGTGTAAATTGGCAACAGTTGATCCAAAACATCTAAAACATAGGGGCAGAGAGCCTAAATTAATGGTGATAAAATAATGTGGGTACAGAGAGAATGTGATCTGTTCATGTAGATGTGTATAGATGTATGTTCTCCTATGCATATTGCCACCAAAAATAGATAATTTTTTTAAAAAATTAAAAAAAAAAAAAAACTCTTTCTATTGGTAGAGAACAGATTGCTAAAAAAACAAGAATAGAAATAGGAAAAACCATTAGGAAGATGGAAAATTGTCCAGGAAAAAGACGGGAGTATCTTGAAATAGGGTGGCAGTAGCAGAAAATGACTAATGGACATAAAATTTGTAATGTTCTGGAGATAGAAAGGAACAGATATGCTAGTGGACTGGGTGTGGGGAAGATGAGTGAAAAGAAGACTCAAAGATGATTCCTAGATTCTGGCTTAAGCAAAAGGAAATACAACATTTTCAAACACTATGCCACTCAATCGTGACTTTTCTAATCACATAAGCTGGGCTGCCAGGCAGCAAGCACCAGTATCCAGAGAACACTGATAGTATCAAATAGTTTTTACAGTAGCACTTTTACATTTTGTCTGTTTATATTCATTATCAACTCACTAGGATTTACAAAGCTTTTAGGATCTAGGAAGATCCTAAAATTTTACAGCTCTTTGGATTTCTTTGACTATCTTAATTTGAAGAAGTAACCATAACAAAATCAGACATTTTTATATACAGGAACAAGAAAGAAACTACATTCATATCATTAGTTTTTCCTTATTTTTTAAATTACCATAAAGGATTCAAAACTGCACGGCAAGTGGTCCTACTACACAGAACAGGCTCATATTGAATAGGAGGTAAATCAGGTCTCTCCTTCAATGGTGTAAATAGGGCTGCCACTGGGACAACCATTCTCGTAGCTTCTAGTCGACTTGAGGGCCATACATTCCAACTAAATCGGACCCCATCTCGTTCTTCATTTTGTTGGATAAATTCCAAATAGGTTGTCATTGTAGAGCTTGTTTCTTATTTCTGTAACAAAATTAAAAGTTATTAATTAAAAAAAAATCTGTGTCTTAGGAAGATTCAAAACAAGTAAGTTTTTTCCCATTTTCCGTGACATTAATCCATTAAAAATTATGAACCAATGAACGTATTTATCTCAGGAAAAATTTAGCAAGCAACAATAACCCTATTTACAACATATTTAATGACTCTCCAGAATCCAATGTCCATTAGATCCAATAAGAAATATTTTATTCTTAAAAAGTATAATGGCAAAAAGCATAATGTATAATTTTACCATCACAGCAAATAAATTAGTATTAATAATAAATAAAAAGAGAGGCAGTTTCTGATACAACTTGTTGTTAGGTGCCATCAAGTCGGTTCTGACTCATAGAGACCCTATGTACACAGTACAAAATAATACCGTCTTGCACCATTCTCACAATCGTTGTCATGCTTGAGCTCATCATTGCAGCCGTGGTGTGAATCCATCTCTTTGAGGGCCTTCGCCTTTTTCTCTGGCCCTCTACTTTACCCAGCATGATACCGTTCTCCAGGGACTGATCCCTTCTGACAACATGACCAAAGTATGAGAGAAGAAGTCTAGCCATTCTCACTTCCAAAGAACATTCTGGCTGTACTTCCTCCTTGACAGATTGATTGTTCTTCTAGCAGTCCATGGTACAGCCAATATTCTTCGCCAGCACCAGAACTCAAATGCTTAATTTCTTCTTCAGTATTCCTTATTCACTGTCTAGCTTTCAAATGCCTCTGAGGCTACTAAAAAGACCATGGCTTGAGTCAGGCACACCTTAGTCTTCAAAGTGACATCTTCACTCTTCAACACTTTGAAGGGGTCTTTTGCAGCAGATTTTCCCAATGCAATATATCATTTGATTTCTTCACTGCTGCTTCCATGGGCAATGGTTGTGGCTCCAAGTAAAAGGAAATCCTTGACAACTTCAATCTTTTCTCCATTTGTCAGGATGTTATTGGCCCAGTTGTGAGGATTTTTGTTTTCTTATATTTCTCTATATACTACTTTAGGTACAATTAAAAAGCTTGTGGAATGCATTTTCTTGGTTCGAAGGCCTAGGGTCATGGTTTCATGGGTCTGTCAACTTAGCCTAATACTGTTTTTAGAGTCTCTGTTCTACCTCATTGTTTACTGTACAGTAGCACCTATAGTCTTAAAAGCCTGTAAGCAGTCATCCAAGATACAACTATTGTTCTCTATTTGCCTGTAACAGCAGAAGAAGGAGATGACCCAAGAAATGGAGAGGAAAATTAACTGCAGGTCTAACTGCCTCCATAAACTACTGCCCCCACTGACATGAGATCAGAAGAATGAGATGGTGCCAGCTACCATTAATGAATATTTTGATCAAGGATGCAACAGATGGGTCCTGATCAAAGGGAAGAAAAACATGAAACAGAATTTCCAATTCTTATAAAAATCGTACTGGACTCACTGTGACTGAGGCAACCATCAAATCTATCACCCTAAGATAATCTTTAAGCTTGAACTGAAACTATGTCATGAATTATTTCTATACTAAAACAACACTTTAGCTCAACTAGTAAGGAATGTTCACCTTGAGCAGTGTGTTCTTCTAAAGAATTGTCTATATGGTACTCAGCTACCACTATCAACCACTTGGAGGGGCATCGGTACAGGAGATCCTAGATAGAGTGGGAGAACAATGTGGAACAAAACTCAAAATCATAAAAAGAGACCAGGTTTGCTGGTCTGATACAGCCTAGTAAGACCCCTAGGACTATGGCCCCTAGTTACCCTTTTGGTCTGGAACTGAACTCACTTCTGTGGCTTCCAGCCATACAGACAGGCATATGGGGTGAACATTTACATCAGGTAATGGGAGAACTTCTGAGCTGCGTTTGCACAGGGAGACAGCTGGGGGGGCGGGTTGCGTGGCAGGGAAGGATATAGGGAAGAGGTAACTTACAGGGAAGAAGTAGGAAGAGAGTTGTTACATTGTGGGGATTGGCAATCAATGTCATGAAACAAAATGTGCATGAACTGCTATATGGAAAACGAACTTGCTCGGTTAACTTATACTCAAAGCACAATAAAAATTTTTTTAAAGTATTATCTCTATCAGAACAAACTGACAATAGTGACTCTAACACACTGTGGAGAAGTTCAGGAAAAAGGGAGTCTTAAATTAATTGTGGTAAAACAATATACGTAGAGATGGCAAGAACAGCAACACAAAGCAAAGTATACAAAAACTGTCAGAGAATTATACAAGTAGAAAATGTTAAATAGGTGTATATTTTCATATATATATTTTTACCAAAAATAAAATTTAAAAAAAAATTTTTATTCTTATTCACACCTGAAAATTACAGCAAAGAATAATAAAGGTCCTAGTTATTTAAGGGCCTATAGGAAAGAAAGGAGCTCTGGTAGCATAGTGGCTAAAGCACTTGACTGCTAACCAGAAGGCTGGCGGTTCAAACCCACCAGCCACTCCTCAGAAGGAAGGCTGGGCAATCCTACTTCCATAGTGATACTGCCTCGGAAACCCAAGGAGGGGTCACTATGAGTCGGGGCTGACTCGACGGCACATAACAACAACAACAACAACATAGGAAAGAAAGGAGCTCTGATGGCATAGTGCCTAAGGCATTTGACTGCTAACCAGAAGGATGATGGTTCAAACACACCAGCCACTCCGCAGAAGGAATATGGGGCAATCTACTTCCATAAAGATTAACCGCCTCAGAAATTCAACTGGAGTGGCTGTGACTTGGAATCGACTCAATGGCAGTGAGTGTTTTTATAGGAAAGAATGGCAACAATAAAGGAAAAAAAAAACTGATTTTATGTTTCCTATATTAGCCTTGTCAGTTACTTTATTCTAGTAAACAGATCATCAAAAACATAAAATTTTAAAGACTCGCATAGTTTTCAATTCAGAAAATGACAAATTCGCACTAAAACTTTTATGAGAGAATGTTCAATGATACATAACAAAAAGATTTTCTTAAAGTTATACAAGAGAACTTTGTACTATCTTTGCTACATTTCTGTGTATCTAAAATTATTTCAAAATAAAAAGTTAAAGCAAAAAAACTTTCTAAAAGTGGGCACTTCTGGTTTACACAGGGCAAATACAAGACAGTTGTGGCACAGTACCTAAAATGCTTGAGAAGCAGTATTCCCTGTGATTCATATAATTATCTAACCTCTTCTGCAGAAACTTGATTCAGGATACTTTTAACACTGTAATTTATCAGAGCATTTTAAAATCTGATTCAAGACATACAATTACAATGCAATAATTTAAGCTTACCACCAGTGGGAGGGAACCCTGGTCGCACAGTGGTTAAGCACTCAGCTGCTAACTGAACGATCAGTGGTTCAAATCCATCAGCCTCTACAGGAGAAAGACACAGCAGTTTGCTTCCATAAAGATTTACAGCCTTGGAAACCCTACCAGACAGTTCTACTCTGCCCTATAAGGTCACTATGAGTCAGAATTGACTCAGTGGCAAGGGGTTTGGTTTGGTTTTTACCAACAAGAGGAGGATGCCACTCTGGGGAGGACTCAGTACCAAAAGATATCTCCATTTTGTTCTAACAGCTTGTCTAGGATGCCAGCTTTCCTCCCTAGTCAATGGTTCTATCTCATGCTCTCAAAATTCAGCAGTGGTTCATCATGGAAGCAACTGCAAATTTTAAAGCTCTGGACATATAAAGACTTTCAAGTGCTATGTGTCTAGCCAAAAGATTCACAACAGAGAAGACAGGGAGATGAAGGACATTAAGTTAAGGGAATAGAATTACGAAGCTAGGGAGCAGAAGAACCAACATGGATGCTGAAGCTGATCAGCATGATGAGGGATGAGGGACTTATTCTAAAATGTTAGGGAAAGAACGGTATTTTTGAAAAAACATGTTAGATACAATAGCATTTTTAATTTTTTAAAAAATGGTAACAGATTTTTGATAATAAAAATTACAGAAAGTGACACTTGAGAAATCTAAGTGTCTCAGACTGCTCAAGACTTTCTCTTCTTTAAGAGAATTAAGAAAATTAAAATTTTTTTAAAAAAAAGTTTATTTCCTAGTTCTATCATGCCAGAATCTCTAAGACAGGAGAATTTTATGCTAATCAAGAAATCGTAGATTTTACTTTGGCGAGTAGCAACTAGGATCTTAAAAGTTAGCAAGCTGCCATCTAGATGCAATGATGGTTCTCTCCTCATCCAAAGCAAAGAAGAATGAAGAAAACCAAAATTCATGGAAACAGTCCCAGCAACTGGTACACCGTCCAATCTGCAGCCTATACAACTATGAGACCAGAACTAGATAGTGCCCGGCTACCACTGACATCCACTTGAAAGGGGATTTATGTAGAAGATCCTTGATAGAGAGGGAGAACAATGTGGAACAGAACTCAAAATCATTTGGAGGAAAAAAAAGAAAAAAGTGGGGGACCAGGTTTGCTGGTCCGATAGAGCCTGCTGGAACCACTGAGACTATGGCCCCTAGCTGCCCTTCAGATCTCGAATTGAACCCACACCTGTGGTTTCCAGCCAAACAAAAGACAGGCATATGAGTTGAACATTTGCCTCAAGTAGATACACTCCTTGGAGAGAACAATCATGGGAAAAAGAAGGGCTGCTTATGCACAGGGAGACAGCTCAGGGGGCAGGAGTGCATGGAGGGATGGACACAGGGAAGAGGTAACTATGGGGAGGAAGTGGGAGGGGAGCTGTTGCATTGTGGTAAACTGTGGTCAATGTCATGAGACAAAGTATATGTGAACCGCTGTATGGAAAGTGAATTTGCTCTGTAAACTTTCACCTAAATCACAATTTTAAAAAAAAGTCAGGAAAAGGGTTTCACACAAGGAAAAAAAAATCATAGATTTTTCAAAAGTTAATAGAAAACCAAAAATCCACTGCTATCAAATTGATTCCAACTCACAGTGACCCTATATGATAAAATAGAACTGTCCCATAGCGTGTCC